CTTTGCACCAGGCTACATCCCCAGACAGTTAATAAACGTTTATATTTTGAGATGAGGTCTCATTAAGGAACCAAGTTCCCCAGACTGAATTCTAATTTGTAATTTTTCTGCCTCAGCCTTCCAGAGTGCTGGGATTACAGGTGTTCCAGTTCCTTACAACTATAGGATCAAGGTTCCTGTGGCCTTACTGGCTGTCAGCCAGGGCCACCTCCATCTCTACATACACGGTCTTTTTTCATTCTCAAAGGAGTAAAGAGTATTGAGTTCCTATTATGATTAAAATCTTTTGGAACTGCACTTCCTGTTCTGTTTTCTGGTACCAGCTGGAGCAGTTCCTATGATTTTAAGGATTCACATGATTAGTTTAGACCAATGCAGATAATGTTCTTCTGGGACCTACGGTGCTTTACGACTTATGCCCACAAAAGGTTTATAGTTTGAAATCTCAGGAGCTATTTCTAGAAATTCAGGCTGTCACATCCCAAGCACCTGGATGAGTACCTGGCACACAATAAGCCATCAAAACATCCTTCTTAAATGAAATCAAAAAGGATCATAATTTTTTATGGCAAAGGAAAATAAAGAGAAAGCACAGAAAACAAGTGTGAGTGATAAATGGATCATTTATCGTATTTAAGGAAGCTAAGCATGGATTACTTTTAAAACCTTATAGGAATGTAACACATATAACCTTTCACAAGCAACAAATACAGTATCCCTCTCAAGCCATGGCCACAAACAGTTTCCACAGGTGTAAACAGCATAAGAACAAGATTCCAGATGTCCTCCTGGGGGCTTCCTACCAGGCAGGAACTCTTTAGCAAGGCTTCCATCCTACAGTGAAGAGAACCACCGGCTTGGCACTAAACACCGTAAGTTAGTATGTACACAGAATCACTCTTCTCCATCCTCTTTTCTCACTGGCCTTCTTTGTTCAACACTGAGGTGGATTCTAGCAGGCAGCCTCTAAGAGGCTGCCAGTGGTCTCCAGCTTCTGTAGTCAGAGGTTGCAAAGACAGTGATTTTATACAGAAATTATGGTACTGTTTATAATGGTCACCCAATGAGTCAGATACAAAGAAAGTGCAGGAAATCTGTCAGTACTAAAGACCTAAAGAATCCAGCTGAGGGCTTGCATCTCATGGCAATGTCCTGCATGAGTCCAGCTGAAGACCAGAACCCATGACAATAACTGGTGCAAGTCTATTTCATGAATCTGTGCTGGGAAGTCCCAAAGGTCAGCAGTGGAAGCTAGAAAGTCTACGCCAGCAGGATACAGGATCTGTGCCAGTAGGCTGAAGGTTTGTTCTGCACTGGAGCCAGGAAGCAATGCTCAGACCAAGAACCCACAGCTCCTCCGAAAAGCACCAGAGCCATCCTCAGCCACAACGGGATCCTGAGCGCTTCTGATGATGAAAACAGCCAAGTTCATACCAGGACACCAGCGACAGGAGCTTTTCCTGGAAATTAAGCAACACACATCTTCCCCTCTGGAGCCAGAAAGTGATGCTCAATGTCAGGGTCAAAACACTCCCAAAGTGAACTACAGCCGTTCTCAGTGATAAGGTCCCAAATTCCTCTGATGATAATTTCCAAGTTCATATCAAGAAGGAAATTTGACAAGCTCCTCCAGGAGAACCCATGGCAATAGGAGAACCAACAGCACCGAACAGCACTAACTTTTCCAATTCTCTTTTTAGGTTGGCAACAGTCCTTAGGTGCCAGCCCCAACCTACTCAGCACCAGGCTGTTCAGTTCAGCTGGTGCTAAGTTGACCATGTTTTTAATCCACCACACCATCCTTTGGTATTTATGGCCTCCTGTAATCTCCTTTGTTTGGATAAATTATTTCTAACTAATGAATATGGGGAGGTGGCATTTCCATGGGTAGATGGCAAAGGCTGTGATTGTTTGGCTGGTGTACGTGGATGAAGCAGGCTGTGTGTTGGAAGCCTATCAAGGCAGAGGACTGAAGGTAACCTCAGCCAGAGTCAGCAGGCAGCTGGTGTCCTGAGTCCCCCAGCCAGAAAGGAACTGAGTTCTGCCAAAACCATGCAAGTTTCAAAGAGGGTCCTTCCCCAGCCAGCCTTCAGATGGCTTGGTGGGTCCATGCTGAAACTATAGATTCAGAGACTAAGGTAACAGAGGGATATTGTTTCAGACTCTATATTTTAGTGTAATTTGTTACTAGCAAGAGATAACTAATGCACTCAGATGTTCATCTACAATGTTGAAACAGTTTTAATTCATTCATTTTGTTACAAGAGCAGAGCTTGGCAAACTTTTTTGTTCTCAAAAAAACCAAACACCAACATTTGGGTGTTGTAGCCCAAGAAGCAAAACTGAGGGTATTATAGAAGTACTTCTGTATAATTTCCAGGTATTCCAAAGTATTATGTTTATACCCTAATCATTAAGAAATGTAAAACGCATCCCTAGCAGATGAACCATGCATAAGAAGGTGGCCGGTCATATTTGCCCCCCTGGCCATAGTGTCCATAGCTCATTGACCCCTGCTAAATCTGATTGTTTAATTAAATTACAGTTCATTTATTCAATCTACCATTCTTGTGTATTTGTGCAGTTTTTTGTGGGCTATTGGAAACAATGTAACCAAGACTGTCCGGTTGCATGACTTTTGTAGAACACGAATATGCACCTTGTTTTTTATACTACCAGGTGCAGAATGGCTAGATTACAGGATATGTGAATATTCAGCTTGATACACCAAAAGATTTTCCAATTGTATCGACTCACATACCACGAGCAACTATGAGTCTTTGCTACTTCAATGTCCTGCCAAGAGTTGGTGTTTTCTGTCTTTTTTATTTTGGCCATTCTGGTAAGAATTATATATATATATCCAAAGCATCCCATACGGTTTGAATTTCAAGCAGAAATGACTGTTTAATGGCTACTTATCTTTTATTAGGTTGAGTCACATGAAGTTACTCTATTTATTAGTTTGAAAAAATGGTCAAACATAGGCTATTTCATATGGTTCAAAGCAATATTTCCTTCATATCTTATTTATATTTATAATAAAAATGAAATTTGCATGCTCCTCTATTAGGAAAGGAAATTTGAGCATAAAATAAAGTTTCCTACTAACAGCAGACTTCAGTGACTTGTGCATTTTAATATTGTCCAGATCTTTAAACTGAACATATGGCTGATGGTTTAAAGACTTGCTGAAGATTAGGATATCTATGAATTAATCTTGGTGTGGTGGTCCGTGCCTGTAATCCAAGCACTCTGGGAGGCTAAGGAAGTTGGATGGTAAATTTGAGGCCAGCCCAGGAGACTTTGTCACAAAATAAAAAGGACCTGCGGATGTAACTCATTCCAAAGGTCCTGAGTTCAACCCTTAGCACTAAAGTAAATCAGTCAATAGATTCTGCTACAGAAGTTTCCAGAAATTCTGATTCTATGAGACTAACATGGGACTTACGGGATATGTTTGTACAGCCAGGGCTGGGAACCACTGTCATTGCCTGCCCGATGGTTTTCTGCTCCATTCATCAATCTAAAAGAAGACCTAACACTTTGATGACTTTAAAAGCAGGAGGTGGGAGGAAAGCACTTGAGTTTAGTTCTCTCCAGGTTTCTCTCCTGGTTACATAGTAGGTTAGAAAATTGTTTTTCCCATGAAAATTGGGTCTCTCTGGGCAAGTTTGTCTCTGCTGCTGTACTTAGGTTTGAAACCTAAGGTTTAATTTGCACACAGTTTCATGGACTCAGAGTTAATGTATCACCAAGGGTACTTAATGTTTACATGCAGGTAGTTTAAAATGTACTTATACACGGCCATCTTACCCAACCGCAGGACTAAGCACATACTTAGTGACTAGGGAAAAATGGAGACACATATACAGCCTGAGAAACAAAACTTGTTTTATGATAACAAAGTTTGTTCACATGCTCATAGAAAGAATCAGATACTTGTACTTATTCTGCAGAGCATGCACAGAAAAGTTGGGGGCTGGGTGGGCGTGGCACCAGATGCATTCCTGAGCTCAAGCCCTTTCAAAGTCTAACTCCAGTTCTGAGCTGGATTTAGTTCCAGGACCACTCCAGTACTCCTGCCAATCATAGGTGCACCTATATTTCCTTACACAGGAGCAAACGGTGTGGGAGTTTAATTTTCATCAATATGTACCTCTCTATTGCCATCCACGTGGTTCCCTTATCCTATTTACAGTGTCAGCAGCACCTGAATGCAGCATGGTTCAGAAAATGAAAGGATCCTGGTTCCCAAGCACAGTTCATTAGCAGGCCTGTCACAGGCCAGGCAAGCTGTAACTCGCCTCCGGAAGTCAGGTATTTGCCACGGTGTGACATCCTCCCGTGGAAGCATGGCTCCTAGATTTTGCTCCCAGGGGATGTTGACTGTTGGGGATTTTGAAGCCACTCCCAATTCACCCACTCCTATCAGCCTTTCATCACCAGAGCCACCTCGGAGAATCAGAAGACAGAGCTGTCACCTGGCAGGATTCTCCCCAAATCCCACCAGTCCCAGAGTGTCACGGAGCAAGTCTGAACCGCACCCCGAGCAGCAAGTCGCTGACCTAGAAACAGGACCGCAGACAGCAGGAAGGCTTGAACGCGTGGCCCAGGGCCCAACCTGGAGACCGCATAGCAAACCCAGGCGCCCGCAGCCTTCCCGCACGCGGCCAGGTGCGCGGCTGCTTCAGATTGACAGCGAAGCTCTCAATCGCCGGCCCCGCCTTAGCGGCTAAAGAGACCGCGCACTGCATTCTGGGAGATGTAGTTCTCACTACAATCCGGAGTGTCCGGGACCCCCCAGTCCTCGTCCCAGGTGTCCACGAGGCATTGCTTGGCGTGGGCCTGATGAGTCCCCAAGCTGCTTTTTGAGTGTGGTGGCGGAGTGAAGGGGCACCCGGACTGTTCCCTAGGGGCTCGATGCAGAGCGGACTACGTTTCCCAGGAAGCTCCGCGCGGAGAGGGACTACATTTCCCAGGCTGCTCCGCGTCGAGCCCGAGCCGCTGCTTGCCTCGCGTGACCGCGGCAGGTTGGTCCCGGAGCCGAAGAGCGCTGGATATTTAGGCGCGGGCGCGAGGCGGGGGGGCGCGCGGGCCGGAGGAGTTCCTCGGCCAAGACAGTTATGCATGCGTTAGGGCACCTCTGACAGAATGGCCGTGGAAGGTAAGGGACGCTCGGGGCACGTGAGGCGCCCTCCTCCCCCGCGCCCGCGCGCACATCCCCGCAGGAGCCCGCAGACGCAGGCGGAGCGGCGCGGCGCGGGGGTGGCGGAGCCGGGGTCCCCTCCTCCTGTGGCGGCGCGCGGCGCTCACCTGAGCCCCGAGCCTCCGACGCTCCTCCGCGGGCGGCGGCCCCAAGCGCGCTCCTCCCGCAGCCCGCAGCTGACACGGGATCGGACCGGGACCGGGACCCGGGCGGGGTCGCAGCCCCGGCGCCTCCGCCCCTCCCGCCCGGCCCGCACGTGGACCCGACCCGGGCAGGTGCGTCATGGGCACCAAGGACCGCGATTGGGTCCAGGGCCCCTGGCGTCGCATGAGCCCGAAGGAGGCGACAGCAGATGCACCCGGAGGGTGAAGGTGCAGCACACCTGCCTCTCTGCACAGTGCCCCCCGACCCCCAGGACAGCAAAGTTTCCAGGACCCAAGTGGCCTCAGACGGGGGAGGGGGGAAGGACGACTCCCTTGTTCATGCGGGCGAACCCTGTTCCTGGAAAGCCACCTCCTCCCCGCACTGCGCTCTCTCCGGATTTGCCATTGGGCCGTGCAGTGGGCGCCTTTGAAGTTCTTGGGTACAAGGAGGATCTGTGGTTCTGGGAGGGACTGCAGATATTTATCGCAGGTTCACCCCGTGTGGGACACAGGTTTTTCTTGTTGGGGAGAGGAACATGGCCAGAAGGTTTCTGATGGCCGAAGTAGAGGTCGCGCTCTGCCTGAGTTAAGGCTCCCGAGTGAGCATGAAGTCCCGGGGGGAATGAGGTAGGAAAGGAGGGCAGGCCTGCCAGCTGCGCCAGGCGCCTTGCCAAGGGGAAATGAGCCCGTGTCTTGTAGGCTAGAGACACGATGGAGCCATGAGGGCTTGCTGGCTTCTGCCTCTGCTCCCTGCCCCGGGAGTGGGACTCTTGCTTTCTGTATAATTACTATCTTAACAACCCGAGGTGGCAACAACCAGGCTCCCCAGTATCAGCTTCCTTCAGCTGGGGAAAATACTGCTACGGGGCTGTCTCTGGTTGACGGTGGAGGATCCCAGCTGGTGGTCCCAGCTGCATCAACAAAAATGATCTGATCTCCCCCCACCCCCATATATACAAAGTGAGAAAGTGGATCTGGAGTTTTGCAGTTACAGTTGATAGCAATGCAAGGGTTCAGATGGCCCCAGATCAAAAAGCTAAAACCACGTTCATCTGGAGCATGAGACCAGAGATAGGATGACCTGGTTCCCTTCCACTTCACCCTTCAGATGGCATGGATCACCATCGCGTCACTCTTCCGTGTTCCCAGGCGAGGGCCACTCCAACCCGTTGGCGATCCACAGTGTTCTTTACAACCATTTCCTATTCAGTGCAACAAGAATAGAATTAGTCATATTTCTTGTCTTAAGGGTGACTGTGCCAGTGAAGCTGCACCTTACAGTAAGAAACGAGCATTGAGAGGAAGGGAGTGTATGCGGACTGCAGAGAGCTCAATTTACCTGTTAGTGACTTATTTGGCTAAAGGACCTGTGTGCTAAACGGGAGATACTGAGTCTGAATCCCATCAAGGTCTCAACTTGAAGAGTGGAGTGCTTTAAACTTTGGCTGAAAATGTGATTCCTAGCTCTGAAAAAGGCAGCTTTCTCAGCCTTGACTGGGCCCTCTGCGGCTGCTACCACATGGTCTTTCAAGGCTCAAGAACTTCACAGCCAGCCACATCCCAATACTCTGGGAGGCTGAGGCAGTAGTACTGCAAATTCGAGCCCTGTCCATACAGTTTAGGGACCTAGTAACACCCAGTCTCTAAAATAATTTTTAAACAAGAACTGGAGATGTCGCTCAGTGCAGAGGGTCTGTGTTCAGTCCTCAGTACCAAAAAAACAAAAACAAAAACAAACAAACAAACAAAAAACCCAGAACCCCTCACTTTCTCTAAGAGCCTGTCCCAACCCTCTCAGGACCTCTGCCTCTCCAGTGTTCCTGGTGCCACCTGTGCTTAAATCTATCCTAACAGGAATGTGCTTTAGGGTAGAGACCAGATACTCTGACTTTAACTTCCCAGCTGTTAACAACAGTACCTGGTTTGTGATAGGTGCTCGGAAAAATGCCAGTGGAGAGCAGGGCTAATACATTCATGTGGCTTTTGTGACTTCATAAGGATGCCTGGATTTTTCTTTGGAGCCCAAAGCCATCAAATAAGTGACTCTTGAAACATTGGAAGATAGATACTTTTAGAGGTGCCCACCTCTGCAGTCTTGTGTCTTGCTCGCCGAAGTCTCTCCTTGAGATCTGTAGTTTTCACTTGCCACCAGGCATGATCTTGCCCCTCCTCCACTGGGATGTGTAGTAGCTGCTGCTAGGGCTGCTGTTTGTAAGATGCACCCATGAGCTAGCCATGCTGAATGTTCTGCCATGCATGACAGTGTCCTAAGACGTTCCCAAGTCCAGACAGGTGATGATCAGTTTACCCAAACTTTTGAGCAACACTGATGCAGAGAATTAGGAATTTTGCCAGGGGAAGTGGAAGAAAAAGTACGGTAAATGTTACTTAATATCTGACCTTTAGTCTCCTTATCTGGAAACAAAACAGGCTTAGTGTTCTACTTCCTGGGCAAGCCTGATGACTCAGTAAAGGAAAGGTTTTGTAGAAGAGGGCTGGGCTCATCTTCTCAGGAAATGTTACCTGCATTCCCTCTGGCTCCTCTCCTTAAAAACACACACAGTATTTGGCACATTTTCTTTCCAAAATTTTCACTTATTTATGCCAGCCAGTCTTTCTAATTAGTAACAAATTAGAAAGTTTTTATAATGTGTAACCTTTCTCTTAAGTAAACTTGAACTTGTAAAGATGTTAATTAACAGTAAGGAGCTCATGGTTTGCTGAATCTGTGGTTTTGAATTTAAGATGTGAAAGTGTCCATTGTTTTGTGTTTTACAGCTACCCTGGGTTGTAGTTTTGTCTCCAAATTTAAAACATCCGATTTATGTTTCCTAGCCTAATTGTGATCCATGCTTGAATTTGCTCTGCTGGCATCTGGGGCAGCAAAGTATGCTCTCCAGACTTAGAACAGGGTCTCACCCTTTGGTCTGCATTGAGTTGGGGGTTATACTGACATCTGTTATACTTATTTTTAAACTAGAAGAAGGATCTCTGGGTAGCATGTGGGAACCACAGACCTATCCATTTTCCATCCACAGACCCTGTTGATAGTTGTGCCTAATGATGCGATCTTACTTGATGTGACTGTGATGCAGTATTATATAAGAAGCGAAAAAGTATGGGATCGATTCCTTGGGACAGGGTTGTACTCATCTCTGTGTTCTGAGGGTGGTGCCTGGCACTTAGGACACCCACAGTAATTGTTTCATGAATGAAGTATAAATGCACGATTGACCAAAGCCAGAGAAAGGCTTTTCTCTTTGTCTCCAATTCCTTCCTTCATCCTTAGAGATTTATGAGGATTGTGGGATGGATGAACACTTCAAGTTGAATGGTGTAGTTGCTTTTATGGCATTGAAATGATGCCCAGTGTTCAGCACTGTCAACCCCTGGCCACCCTCCACCACAAGGTTTCTAAATGACAAGTGTCTAAATGTCTCTAGATGACTTCTCTTGGGGGGTTGAATTGCCTATCTTCTGTGAATGCATTGGCTCAACAGATGACTTCTAATATGTCATTCAGTGCTCAGATTCTGTAACTTTTCTGCTGTAAAAGTGAAAAAACTATCCCAGGCTAACTGATAAACGCATTCAGGAAAAAGGAGGAAAGAGAATCAAAACCATGTAGCAAACAAGGGTCATGGTAGACATTGAGAGCATTAGACCAGTGAGCTTTGGGAGCCAGTAAATGCTGAGCACCCAAGGGCAACTGAGAGCTATTCACAGCCGACAGTGGATGATGAAAATGTTACTTACACCATGAGAGTTACTTTTTGTGGCTTTATTTTAGGTAGTGAAGTGAGGCCCACCTTCTCTGCCACCCTGAGGCCCCAAGAGTGCAGAGATGATGGGTTTCTTCAGCAGTCAGGTGGGACCCCGAGGACTGGAGGTGGCTGTCCCCCAATGCTTGTGCCTTTAACAGTCTTGCACATCAGACATTGACCCCTTTCCTGAGGGCTAGGGAGAGAAACCAGATGCATGATTTGGAGGAATTCCCTTTGTCGTAGTCAGGGGTTGTACACAGAGAACAACTAGGATTACGACATGGAGTTCATAATATTTTTATAATGGTTACTGGAAGTTAACACAAGAAAATGCAGGAAATCTATCCGCAACACCAAAGACACAGATTATTTAGTCAAGAGCCTAAACCCCACAACAATGTCCCACATGAATCCAGATAAAAACCCAGAGCTCAGGACAATGCCTCCCACGAGTCCAACTAGAGGTCCAGAGCCCATAAGAAGGACTCACGCCAGTCCCTTTTACAGATCCGTGCTGGGAAGACCCAAGGGTCAGTGGTGGAAGCCAGAAAGTCTATGCAGGATGAAGGAGACGTGCTAGTGGGATGAGGGTTCTGTGCTGGAGCCGATAAGTCACACTCACAACAAAGAGCGGGGCTGTCCTGAAAGGCACCACAGCTGTCCTCAGTGACACGGAGGCCCCGAGCTCCACCGACGACAAGCATAGTCAGATATGTGCCAGGAAGCAGTGTGACGAATTCATCCTGGAGACCAGGCAGCACATGTCTTCCCCTCTGGAGCCAGGAAGCAATGCTCGATGTGAGGACCAAAGCTTCTCCAGGAGAACCAACAGCTCAGACAGCACCTCGTAGGAGAACCCACAATTCCTCCTTAATGCCTCAATCCCTCTCAACACCTGCCTTCTTCTCCACCTATTTATCCTGGCAACCCTCCTCAGGTGGAGCATCTTCTCTCAATGCATGCTGATGCAATCCAGCTGGCGTTAAGTTGACCACCAGTTTTCAAACCATAACACCCTTCTTTTTGCAAAGGAAGCAAGTGGGCGGTGACT